GGCTGAAACAGTAGAAATTATTTTACTTGAAAAATAGAAATTTGGAAATTAATAATGATACATTTGTTTAATACGTGAAACATGTAAATCAGTATATGACTCGACTAAATAAACGATACGTTTTTAATATTTATTCTTTAAACATTCATCGCGTTAATAAAAAAGAAAATCATTCAAATAGCAAGCACAGTGGAAAGGCAGGACCAACCGACCAAGAACGGTGGAAGGGCAGAACAAAAAACGGTGAAAGGACAAAACCAAGAACGGGGGAAGGAGAGGACCTAGAACGGTGGAAGGAGAGGACCGAGAACGGTGGAAGGAGAGGACCGAGAACGGTGGAAGGAGAGGACCGAGAACGGTGGAAGGAGAGGACCGAGAACGGTGGAAGGAGAGGACCGAGAACGGTGGAAGGAGAGGACCGAGAACGGTGGAAGGAGAGGACCGAGAACGGTGGAAGGAGAGGACCGAGAACGGTGGAAGGAGAGGACCGAGAACGGTGGGTGGAAGGAGAGGACCGAGAACGGTGGAAGGAGAGGACCGAGAACGGTGGAAGGAGAAGACCGAGAACGGTGGGTGGAAGGAGAGGACCGAGAACGGTGGAAGGAGAGGACCGAGAACGGTGGAAGGAGAGGACCTAGAACGGTGGGAGGAAGGAGAGGACCGAGAACGGTGGAAGGAGAGGACCGAGAACGGTGGAAGGAGAGGACCGAGAACGGTGGAAGGAGAGGACCGAGAACGGTGGAAGGAGAGGACCGAGAACGGTGGGTGGAAGGAGAGGACCGAGAACGGTGGAAGGAGAGGACCGAGAACGGTGGAAGGAGAGGACCTAGAACGGTGGGTGGAAGGAGAGGACCGAGAACGGTGGAAGGAGAGGACCTAGAACGGTGGGAGGAAGGAGAGGACCGAGAACGGTGGAAGGAGAGGACCTAGAACGGTGGGAGGAAGGAGAGGACCGAGAACGGTGGAAGGAGAAGACCGAGAACGGTGGGTGGAATGAGAGAACCGAGAACGGTGGAAGGAGAGGACCGAGAACGGTGGAAGGAGAGGACCTAGAACGGTGGAAGGAGAGGACCGAGAACGGTGGAAGGAGAGGACCTAGAACGGTGGTTGGAAGGAGAGGACCGAGAACGGTGGAAGGAGAGGACCGAGAACGGTGGAAGGAGAGGACCGAGAACGGTGGAAGGAGAGGACCTAGAACGGTGGAAGGAGAGGACCTAGAACGGTGGGTGGAAGGAGAGGACCGAGAACGGTGGAAGGAGAGGACCGAGAACGGTGGAAGGAGAGGACCTAGAACGGTGGGTGGAAGGAGAGGACCGAGAACGGTGGAAGGAGAGGACCGAGAACGGTGGAAGGAGAGGACCTAGAACGGTGGTTGGAAGGAGAGGACCGAGAACGGTGGAAGGAGAGGACCGAGAACGGTGGAAGGAGAGAACCGAGAACGGTGGAAGGAGAGGACCGAGAACGGTGGAAGGAGAGGACCTAGAACGGTGGAAGGAGAGGACCGAGAACGGTGGAAGGAGAGGACCTAGAACGGTGGTTGGAAGGAGAGGACCGAGAACGGTGGAAGGAGAGGAGCGAGAACGGTGGAAGGAGAGGATCTAGAACGGTGGAAGGAGAGGACCGAGAACGGTGGAAGGAGAGGACCGAGAACGGTGGGTGGAATGAGAGAACCGAGAACGGTGGAAGGAGAGGACCGAGAACGGTGGAAGGAGAGGACCTAGAACGGTGGAAGGAGAGGACCGAGAACGGTGGAAGGAGAGGACCTAGAACGGTGGTTGGAAGGAGAGGACCGAGAACGGTGGAAGGAGAGGACCGAGAACGGTGGAAGGAGAGGACCGAGAACGGTGGAAGGAGAGGACCTAGAACGGTGGAAGGAGAGGACCTAGAACGGTGGGTGGAAGGAGAGGACCGAGAACGGTGGAAGGAGAGGACCGAGAACGGTGGAAGGAGAGGACCTAGAACGGTGGGTGGAAGGAGAGGACCGAGAACGGTGGAAGGAGAGGACCGAGAACGGTGGAAGGAGAGGACCTAGAACGGTGGTTGGAAGGAGAGGACCGAGAACGGTGGAAGGAGAGGACCGAGAACGGTGGAAGGAGAGGACCGAGAACGGTGGAAGGAGAGGACCGAGAACGGTGGAAGGAGAGGACCGAGAACGGTGGAAGGAGAGGACCGAGAACGGTGGGTGGAAGGAGAGGACCGAGAACGGTGGAAGGAGAGGACCGAGAACGGTGGAAGGAGAGGACCTAGAACGGTGGGTGGAAGGAGAGGACCGAGAACGGTGGAAGGAGAGGACCTAGAACGGTGGGAGGAAGGAGAGGACCGAGAACGGTGGAAGGAGAGGACCTAGAACGGTGGAAGGAGAGGACCGAGAACGGTGGGTGGAATGAGAGAACCGAGAACGGTGGAAGGAGAGGACCGAGAACGGTGGAAGGAGAGGACCTAGAACGGTGGAAGGAGAGGACCGAGAACGGTGGAAGGAGAGGACCTAGAACGGTGGTTGGAAGGAGAGGACCGAGAACGGTGGAAGGAGAGGACCGAGAACGGTGGAAGGAGAGGACCGAGAACGGTGGAAGGAGAGGACCTAGAACGGTGGAAGGAGAGGACCTAGAACGGTGGGTGGAAGGAGAGGACCGAGAACGGTGGAAGGAGAGGACCGAGAACGGTGGAAGGAGAGGACCTAGAACGGTGGGTGGAAGGAGAGGACCGAGAACGGTGGAAGGAGAGGACCGAGAACGGTGGAAGGAGAGGACCTAGAACGGTGGTTGGAAGGAGAGGACCGAGAACGGTGGAAGGAGAGGACCGAGAACGGTGGAAGGAGAGAACCGAGAACGGTGGAAGGAGAGGACCGAGAACGGTGGAAGGAGAGGACCTAGAACGGTGGAAGGAGAGGACCGAGAACGGTGGAAGGAGAGGACCTAGAACGGTGGTTGGAAGGAGAGGACCGAGAACGGTGGAAGGAGAGGAGCGAGAACGGTGGAAGGAGAGGATCTAGAACGGTGGAAGGAGAGGACCGAGAACGGTGGAAGGAGAGGACCGAGAACGGTGGAAGGAGAGGACCGAGAACGGTGGAAGGAGAGGACCGAGAACGGTGGAAGGAGAGGACCGAGAACGGTGGAAGGAGAGGACTGAGAACGGTGGAAGGAGAGGACTGAGAACGGTGGAAGGAGAGGACTGAGAACGGTGGAAGGAGAGGACTGAGAACGGTGTAAAGGGCATGTCATGTGGTAGGACTAAGGCTAGATGTATTATCGTCATATATCATCGTATGGGTCACCGCTGCCTTCTTATGTGGGGGGGGGGGGGGGCACCGTATCTGCCATCTTATGGGGGCATCGTATATGCCTTCATATGTGGGCACCGTATCTGCCTTCATATGGGCTCTCTGTCCTTGTTATATATCTCCCGACCACTGACCATAGGGACTTCACAAATACAAAGTAAAACAGTGGCAGCTTTATGGGTCACGGAGGTCCTAATCAATAGACCCGTCCCTTCATCCTCCCATGTCCTAATCAATAGACCCGTCCCTTCACCCTCCCATGTCCTATAGACCCGTCCCTTCACCCTCACATGTCCTAATCTATAGACCCGTCCCTTCGCCCCCCCATGTCCTATAGACCCGTCCCTTCACCCTCCCATGTCTTATAGACCCGTCCCTTCACCCTCCCATGTTCTATAGACCCGTCCCTTCACCCTCCCATGTCCTAATCTATAGACCCGTCCCTTCACCCTCCCATGTCCTAATCTATAGACCCGTCCCTTCACCCTCCCGTGTCCTATAGACCAGTCCCTTCACCCTCCCATGTCCTATAGACCCGTCCCTTCACCCTCCCATGTCCTAATCTATAGACCCGTCCCTTCACCCTCCCATGTCCTAATCTATAGACCCGTCCCTTCACCCTCCCATGTCCTATAGACCCGTCCCTTCACCCTCCCATGTCCTATAGACCCGTCCCTTCACCCTCCCATGTCCTATAGACCCGTCCCTTCGCCCTCCCATGTCCTATAGACCCGTCCCTTCACCCTCCCATGTCCTATAGACCCGTCCCTTCACCCTCCCATGTCCTAATCTATAGACCCGTCCCTTCACCCTCCCATGTCCTAATCTATAGACCCGTCCCTTCACCCTCCCATGTCCTAATCTATAGACCCGTCCCTTCACCCTCCCATGTCCTAATCTATAGACCCGTCCCTTCACCCTCCCATGTCCTAATCTATAGACCCGTCCCTTCACCCTCCCATGTCCTAATCTATAGACCCGTCCCTTCACCCTCCATGTCCTATAGACGCGTCTCTTCACCCTCCCATGTCCTATAGACCCGTCCCTTCACCCTCCATGTCCTATAGACGCGTCTCTTCACCCTCCCATCATCATGTCCTATAGACTTTTTCTGTTTGCGTATTTTTCTTTGGGCGCTTTTTTCTGGCCACCATTATACACACATTTGTTTGCTGTTCACTTGGTGCACAACTCTTTTTTTGACGAGATTATTATATTTTAAAAAGTATGAGTATGTCAAATTTGATTAAAAATCATGTCTATGTCCCGAGTTGCCATATCAGAATATTTGACAGTTTAGGGGAAATCACTACCGCTTTATTTTTCATGCTACCTTATTTCGTAAAAAGCACAGCGACCGAAGGGAGAATACTCTCCATTTCTTTATTACCTGGATTATCTCCCTTAAGACATCCTAAGTAAAGATCACATTCAAATGTACTTGCTATGCACTTCAAGCCACTTCAGTGGTGAATTTTTAAAAATACATTTTCTAAAATTTAAATCATACTTGACTTCCAATCCTAAATTATTGTATAGCAACTGCTAGTCACTATCCAATTCAACTTATCTGTGTCGAAATTATTAACCTACAATGTTAGTGAATTGCTGTGTAAATTTTTAACAAATATTTTGTTAGAAAAAATTTTGTGTAACCAAACACCAACCAGAAAATCACACCACAACAATGTAAAGAAAAAGTCAAACTCCTTCATATTAATCAATTTTTAAGAATATAATGTAAAACAAAGCTTACATGAAGATCTTTAGTAATGTGAAAGAAAATATTTTTCTTATGAAATCATTTCAGTACAGGTTTAAAAAAAAAAAACAATTTCAGTATTATTATGGTAATACTTGTAAAAAAAATTCTTGGTGCCATTACAAATTTAGACTAATGAGAGAACAATCTAAATATTACTCAACAGATTTACAAAAAGAAAAAAAAATATCAAAATACAATTACTGTTACTACTAGTAAAGCTGCTTTTACAAAAACAAATTAATTTAACAAAACTAGTTTTTTGACAAGAAAAATCTTCCAGCTTCTCTAGAAAGAATACAATAAATAACACTTACACATAACTTTGTTTCAAGCAACACTAACTACACGAGAACTAATGACAAGCTGGTCATCAAGAAACAGAGTCAAGCTTCTACACCGTATAGAAATCCAAAGGCTAGTATATTTGTAGGATTATATTAAGGTTTTATCAACAAGTATTTACATATTTATATCTTATGCTCTTCAGTATATTAAATTATTAAAAATATAAAAAAATTGTTTTATAATATAGTTTGATGCACTTGAATAAAGTCAATGAAAACATTGATTTAACACATACAAGTCCAAAAGGACAAACCACAATAGCTTTTTTTCTGTACTGACATCACATGAGATACTGGCAACCCCCTACATTAACTAACTAAACTAGCCTTAGAGAACCTCAATAGTTAGCTCAGCTAAATTAACCTCTACCAACTTACTTAGCCTAAAAGCAATTATCGATTTGATTAGGAATTTTAATAGTAAAGGTACGGTACTATAGCAAAGTAATTAATAAAGTAGTTTGCTGACTAGCCTTTATCCAAGAAGTTGACCTCAAACTACTATAGAAGAGGGAAGTATGTCCAGCCTTTGTATAACTAAATGTTAACAAAAGCTTACATTTAAAAAGAGCACTAGTTTAATTATGTTTTAAAATCTGAAACTAAGAGTGTAAGTTAAACCGAATAAAATGGTCGAATTTTCAAGTTACATAAATAAATGTCAGGGTCGCGTGTTAATGCAAAAAATATTTTTTATGCACCATGTAAATAGTAAATACACATTTTTGAAGGCTGCAAAATCAATATGTTAACAAAAAAAAAGGTTGCACATAAAGACATTTCACATAATGATATTAAATGCAATTCTCAACAAACAAAAATTAAATTAGCCATAAAATATAAGACACCTAATCCAAACGATGTGTTTATCCATTATAACAGTCAATGCTTTGTGTTGTCCTACTTGTTGGCACTTGGGGGGGAGGGGGAGATCATCATCTGCTCTTGTGAATCACCTGTACCTAAAGCACAGAGTAGACGATAGACTGATTAGGATTTACAGTTGGCTGATCCGCTCTCAGGGTTTAAGCTACATATGGATTGGTTTAGTCCATTTTGTATTGTATTAAATAATATGATGTTATTTTTTATACATCAAATTCACCCCCTCCCAATTTTCAAAAAAAGGCCAGTTCAATTGGTTTTTAACCTTATACAAATGGCTAATAAACCAATCCTTTAATAAGCAGACACTCAAAAGCAATTAATGCTGGCTTTCAAATATTGTTTAATTTGTCTGTAGTGATAAGTGAAAGTTAAATTCTAGTGGGACACGTGTCAAAAAAAATATTTAAACTAGACTGAAACAAAATTATAATCATCTGTGCAATTTATCAATTTATTAATTGTTATAACAAATTAACCAGAGTCCTAAAGCTAACTTATGAAGAAACATCAAACAAAAAGCCAGCATACAAAACCTAGATTTACTTTAACCTTTATAGTGAGCAGTTTTTTAAATATTCACACCTTTATATTAGGTAAAAAAAAGTAGAGGCTTGAAGAGCATAGTTTTGTACTATTTATTAGAGTGCAACATAACACATTTAAGCACAAACAAATCAGTCGGGTATAGGTAGGGAAGGTTAAATGTACCTACCTGCAGCATTTCCAGACATAGGCCCTCTAGTTACACCTGGGGGAGGGGCGCCCTGGGGAGCCCCCAGACCTGTCTGAGGATACTGGCCTGGGTACTGCTGCATGGGCTGGTTAGGGTAAGGGCCGGATGAAGGGGCCCCACTGTACTGAGAGTAACCTTGCTGGGGAGTCCCAAATTGTGGGTTACCAGGGTGGGGTGGGTATTGATTGGGCTGGTTCATGAAGCCCTGATAATGGCCAGGCTGTGTCTGGGGGCCAGGGTAGGGCTGAGATGACCCTTGGCTCATTCCCATGGGGTGCTGGTATGTATGTGGGGTACCTGGTTGGTAAGCCGCAACCCCCTGGGGGTGGGGGCTTGAAGAATATGGACCACCCTGTGTGGTTGAGCCAGGGTTGGTGTATGGATTAGGGGGGAAACTTTGTCCGAGAGGTTGCTGGAGGTGCATGTGTGGCTGCTGGTTGACGGGCAGCATGGCGGCTTGCTGTTGTGGTGTGGGTGTACCACTAGGGGTGAGTGTGGGTGGGGGTGTCTGTGGAGAAGACTGTAAAGCCTGGGTGAGGGCACCAGATGATGAACTGACACATGTGGGGGTGGTGGAGGGTGCAGGTTCATTTAACGATGATGTGGAGGGCGATGAGATGGCTGATGTGGGTACGGATGAAGCGAGGGATGGAGGTGCGGGGGTGCTAGATAAGACAGGGGTGGCAGCAGGTGAACCCTGGGAGACTTGAGTTGCCTGCACCTGGTGAAGAAAACAAAGCCTAAGTACAAGCAGCTAACACTCAGCACACGGATCTGACACAACATGGACATTAAAATATTTTCAGGCTAAAGCTTAGTACAAGTTTGGTTAAAAGCTGTGGGAATAAATTGTTTATGACCAGTAATCTAGTTGATTACAACAAAACAGTGGTTTTTATTTTCTTAAAATTAATAAAAATTACAAGTACTAATATAAAATGAATGTGAACATTTATGTTCCTTACAAACTCGAGAACATAATTTGTCTTTAAGATTTAAAAATTAAACTTTTAAGATAAAGATTTCTATAGTGTTCAATTTGTCATACTGAATTTTCAAGGATTGCTGCCTCAACAAGCATGACATCTAAAAGCATTAATATTTTTCAAATTGATTTCTAACAGTAAAAATAGCTAGCCATAAAATGACATAAATGTTGAAATAGAACAAAATAAAGATTTTTTCTTTATTAGAATGAGATAAGGTGGAAATAGTTAATTATAACATCAAAAAGCATGAGCTTGAAACTTTGATCAACATGGTGAGCCATTGTTATGACAAAATTTAATAACCTATTAAATGGTGCTTAATATTAACAGACATATGTGATTTATGTTCCAGTTAGTGATAAGAATAAAATAAAAAAACTTTCATACCTGTGGACCTTGGGGTGGCATGGGGGATCCATGCATGACATAACCGGAGCCGTGACTAACAGCCGCTGCCAGGGCAGGGTTGTGGACAGATGGTGGGGCACCAGAGCTTGATGGTGTGCTGTCACCATGCTGGGTCAGCTGGGGCTTGCTGTCTGTCAGCTGTTGGTTGGCAAACTGCCTGGCCCTGTACTCTGCTGCCCTGATCTGCTCCATGTGGAACTGTTGTCTTTCTTGTAACAGCTGCTGGCGCTGGTACTCTAGCTGCAGTGTGAGATGATCACTTCATGTAATAACATGCTTTAACATTGATGGTTGGGTTCTACTTATAAAGTGGAAGAAAATCAAATTAGCTACAAAAATATTAAGGGCTGAATTCGAAAATTTTCTATAGAGGAAGAAAATCACTTAAATGAGCTGGTATTATAAAGGACTATTCAACTTTTTACTGCAGAATACGAAAATAATTCCAACAATTCAGACTGGATTCAATTTTAAACTACAGTAGTAGAAGAGTATCCAGAGTTTAAGGACTTGACAAGTCTGATAACTTACAGATTCTCTTTCCTTATCCATAATGGTCTCAAGCTCCTCAAAGTGTCTCAGCTTGATCTCCAGTTTCTTCATCTGTGTCTCAACTAACAGAGCTACAAGTCCTTTGATCTTTCTCTCCTCAACTGCTGCTAAATGCTGATTACAGAAATAGATGTTTTAAAAATGGGATGGGTGGAAACAGATATTTTACAACTGCTAAAATAAGTAACAAAAGACAATATTAGACAATTCATAGTGAAAGTATTTACATACAAGGATTACAAAACAGAATGAGTCAGTAGTTTTTATCCAAAATTAAAAAATTGATTTAATGCATTTCCCCTGAGAGAAGTTGTAGAGTTTCCTTTTTGAACCTGCCAGTTTCTGTGACCTTGGCATATGGAGGGATAGTGGTCAACACTATGCCCAGCCACTTATACTTTCCCTAGTTAGGTACTCATTTGAGCAGGGTGAACGCAAGGATGTTCTACTGACTAGAACCCGGATTTGAACTCAAGACTTTTGGAATAGCAGTCTAGTGCTCAACTGTAGGCGACGCCATCCCACTGTGAGAGAAGTGCTGAACATATTTAGAATTAAATAAAAATTACTTTAGCTTTGACAGCAGCAGAAGCTAGAGCTGCAGCCGCTGCTGTTGAAACAACTGAAGCGTTGTCGTCCGGGCCATCAAGCAACTTCTCTTGGACAGCCGAGGTTTTTTCTTCCTTATTTTTTTCTTCACTCTTTGGTTCAGTTTTTTCTGTGTCTTCATCTTTTTTCTCAGAATCCTGAAGTAAAATTTTTAAGTTATCAGTTGATTTACAACAATACATTCCAAACAAAAGTATTTAGCTACCAGTAGGTGCCTCCATTATGGTGATGGTAAATCTTGAAATCAAATTCTGAATTTGAAAAATAATTTTTTTAAACAAAGCTACAAGTCACACACATATTAAAACATAAATGTACCTTTGTTTCCAGCTCTGGTTTCTCTTTCTCATCTTCTTCTTTTTCTTCATCTTTTTCTTTGGTCCCATCTGTTTCCATACATTCATCATCCTATTTTAGTGATCAACACAAAAAGAGTAGAAAATGAGTAGCAGTTGAAAATAATGTTCGGTACATCAACTTTTCTAAAATTTGATTGGTCTGCATAAAGTAATCTCACTTAATGTAATCAGTACATTAACTTACCTCATCCTTCTTTGGTTTGTCTTCTTTCTTAGCATCACCATTTTCATCACTTGCAATCTCTGAAGTAAGATAAACAATAGATACTTGAAAAATTAATTGAGAGTGAGCGTTTATCATAGAATATACAAATAAAAAACAGGAACCTCATAGCTTGAAATTGATAAGGGTTTTCTTATGCTTTTATGGGATGGCATAGCCTAAGCAATAAAGCACTAGGCTGCAAACCCCTAAGTCTCGAGTTCAAACCCAGATCCAAGTCAGTTGACCGCCCTTGAGTCCACTCTGCTCTAATGGGTATACAACTCAGGGAAAGTAAAGGCGGCTGGGCAAAGAACTGACTACACCTTCCCTTCATATGCCAAAGTCAAGAAACACATGAACTCAACTTCATCTGCCCAATGGAACACTAAGTCTAAAGAAGATTCTTTTTTTTTTTTGCTTTAAACCCACTAATTTTTGTTAATATAAATATCCATCTTATTAACAAAAATATTAATGTATGGTGCACTGTGGACTGGTTATTTTCTACAAAAAGAGCACCAAGCATTTACTTTATCAAATGCCTACAGCAAAACATATGCAATACAAAGCAAGTTTAATTAAGTGTTGACATAACTAGTTTTCTTACCTGTACCAGCAATGCCACTTTTTTCAAGGCCATAATTTGGATCAACAGCCTTGCCCTCTTTAGTAGCAGTAACAACTGTTTTAGTGTGAGCATCCACAATAGCAGGAGGAACTTCATCTTTCATTTTAGAAAACTCCTCTGCAACATTTTTTTAAAAATATGAGCTTTTTACTTAAGAAAAATAATAATTTTTTTTTAAAATAAAGAAACTTTTTAAATTATTTAATACATAATTACAGCAGAAAAATGTTTTAAGAAATAACTGACCTAAAGCTGCTTTAGCAGCAGCACTGGCGACCCTTGGATCAACAACAGAGGCCAGAAAAGCCACTGTAGACATGATTGGATTTCCACTCTTGGAAAATGGGATTGGTTGATACACCAGAGGCCCTGTGGAGGTAGAAGTGAAAGATGTAATTCAATTGGTGGAACATAATATTAATAGGACACTAAAGTTCCAAACAAAACATCTACAAGACATGATCTAAGAGGCTAAGATGTACTCACCAAGGTGACCATCATCATCTTCAAGAAATGGATCTTCAATTGGTAACCGCAAAAAGTGTAAAATACATTCATCTTGAGTACGGCTGCCTACATGTTCACATACTTTGTTCCAGTCATCTTTGTAGAGCTCCAACGCTTCCAACAGCAGGAGGGTTTCTTGATCAGTCCATTCACGGACACGCAGAGATGGGTTTTTGTCCTGAAAGTTCAAAAATCATGAAAACTTTCAGGGATTTGTTACAATCATTCATTAAATAGAGACAAAATAATTAAATGAAAACACACACCTTGAGAGCTTTTCTTGTGTAGATATCAGTTTTTAACCCAACATTGGACAAGTCCTTTCTTGTGTCATCTTCTCTGTCCCTCCTTTCACTAAAGTCACAAATCTCCTGTGCTGCTGATGGCTATTGTAAATACATTAAAGACTTGTTTATGCTTAACACCTGAACAAGGTGCTTAATTTTGTATTCATATAAACACAATTTCAAGGGTTTAAAAAACCAAATGTATACCTGATTAAGCCTTGGAGGGTTAATGGATGCAATACCAGAAGGTGTGTCAGCCAAGATATGGAAATGTGAAGTTGTAGGAGGCCCCATTGGGGATGGATGGCTATCAGCATCTACTTGATAGTTGACTAGACCCCATTGCTCTAAGAAGGCATGTACTCTGTACAGATTTTAACAATCATGCAATTTGACAATTCATTCGAGTGAATTCATCAAATTTTACAAAAACAATATGCTAACATTGATATTTTAACAAGTCATCTAATTGTCACCTCAAAATGCAGCAGACATCTCCCGCTAGATTTCTCCTTACAGCTGTGGATGTGAGGTACTCGGTTGGATTCAAACGATATGTGTCTATCATAAAGTTACGGTATGCAACATATCTGAAAAACACGAGTCATTCTTATTATTCTTCCAGTTTAAATAATTACATACATGAGTTATACATTTTCCTAATTTGTTAACCATAACGAAATCGGTAGAATTAAATCTTACATTACGTGGTTGACAATAATTTAAGATAAAATGTTGAATAGTAAACAAGATAATCATGAATTATTTTAAAGTGTTTATGTTAAAAGAAGTATACATACATCTCAGGTGTTTTAGATTTGTTTTTCCCATTGAAAAACTCTGGCAATGCTCTTCTTTCTATCGCGTGGATAGAGTTGTAATCAAACCAGGCTGAGTAGCTAGGGACAATGATGTGATGTGTTTGTTCGGTCAAGGTGTCATCTCCTGCTTCCTGTGTGTCTTTCTTCTCGGTTTCCTCACCAGTAGTTCCAGTAGCACCTTCAGGCCTTTCTTGATCTGCCTGCTCAAGAAATGGCAAAAATTGGGTTAATTTTTACATTAATAAGATTCAGATCTACTATTGTCTTTATTTATTACATTTTAATTATAAAGCAATCAACCTTTAAAAGTTATTATTGATCTTAATGCAATTATAAGTCTATTCCTATAAGAAGTTTCTTCAAAAATATTTCTGGAGACAATAACCATATGGAAGATAATGAATAATTATGTATTGTGTGTGAGAAAGTACCTTGTCTGCTTGTTCTTCATCTAAATCCATAATAGATCCGCCTTTGATTGGAGTAAATTCATCTTTTCCACCTCTTGCCCCAAATCCTATCGATACAATAAATATATATTTTAACATGTATTGAACAAAGTGACCAACAACCTAACCCCAATTCTGCCTATCACCAACACAAATTTCATATTGTAAAAAGATTTCTGAGCTAGTATGCAAACAGCTCAGCTAGACATTAAATGTTTTAATTGCTTGTTACAAAATTAAGATATATTCAATATAATTATATGGCCAATGCATCTAATTTTTGCCAGAAAGACTATAATAAGTTAAAACATACATTATTCAAAGAATAGTTTAGAAATTACTAAATATAATACAAAGCACTTCTATTTTACAATTATTTAAAAAATGGATCACTTCTTGGACCTCTGATGATTTATGAAATAACATTCTCAGATCATTAAAGATCACACCTAAGGACTGTTTTAAAATGAAAGTATGAAAAAAAATTACCAGATTTAGGATTATGAACCTCTTGCATGTTGGTCTCAGGCTGGGGGTCTTCCATGTCTTTAGTACTGTCTTCTTCATCTTCTTCCCATTTGCGTTTCTTATTGGAACCAGTGGCAGTAGATCTAGAGCTGGATTTAAATTAGTAAACATTTGCTTCGGATTTTTGGCTTAAACATAACCAAATAAACTACAATATTAAATATAGGAATTTTAAACGCTGACAAAACATTTCAATCAAATCCTAAGATTTTTACACCAGACACAAACAGTATTTTTTACCTTTTTCGTTTTGTCTTTTCCTGGGCTGGTGAAGGAGATCGCTTACGTTTGTTGTTGCCTTTTTTGGGCCGTCTGCTTTTGTCAGCATCAGAGCTATCCCTAATCTGTGATAACATTTCAAAGAATTAACGTCAGTTTCAGTTAGAAAAAGTTATAAATGGATCGGTTTAACACAAAAGTTATTCAGAACATGCACAAAGGGAATTTTAACAATTCATCACATCACTCATTTAAAAATACTTACATCATCAATAGTAAGACGCACTTTTCCCGTTTTCTTGGATTTTTTCCCATCACCCTACAGAATTTAAAGAAGTTTAATAAACAGAATGAAAGAAAGCTTACAGGAAACAGTTTAAAATACTTAACATTACAAAGCATTTAAGTAGTTTGAGGATAAAAGTAAAAGTTGTACACTGGTTATTTCATCCTCAATAAGATAGTCCTCTTCATTCATCCATTCATTAAATTCATCAAGGTCAAGAAGCCATCGTGCTGTAACCTGCAGATTAAATTTTAAATGCATGAACTGTTTATGTTGTTTACATTCAGCCTAATTTACGCTTGTGTTAAAAGTTTTTATTAGACTTACCTCCCATTGTTCTGGTGGAGGTGTCTGTTCTAGATCATACTCAATGTTAATATCTGACACCCAAGAGTCATAACTGATGACAGAAAAATTTAATAACACACTCGTTTAATAATGCAATTAAAACAATAAACAAAACAAAAAATAGTTACAATGAACCTATTACAAAAATAAGTTGAGAAATATTAACCTGTAAAAGAATCAGTCAGTTGAAAAACTGCTACGTCAAAAAAATATTACCTACTAAATCTATTTGTCTATTGGAAACTCATTAAGTTACCAATTTAAACAATGTTCTCCAGTCCATTGAATATATAGTCTTTAAGCTTAACTTTGTCATCGTGTTGAAAGTTGCAAGAGATAAACTGAATCACAATTCATGATAAATGGAGTTAACTTTCAATGGAATTTAACAGAATAAAATTACCTGTCAGGAAAATACCACCAATGAATTCCATAACATTTATCTCGTTTAAAAGTTGGACGAAAATATTCTTCTGTTGAAATATTGAAATGGTGAATGAAAAAAGTTAATATTCAATGGAATTTTTAAAAAAAATTTTTACTAGAAAAAAAGTGAATGCTAAATACAAACCTTCAGTCGCTGGGGGGTTTTGAGAAACATTGTAAATGACATGAGTTGATGATTCAATATCTTCCACAAGACCTCCTTGATGACGTTTGATGATGTCTTTAAGTTTTGGTACCAAGAGTTTGTCTACATCAGGTCTAATATAAATCTGAGGCAGAACAAAACACTTGGAAGAAACCAATGCCTTTTCCACTTGTAGAAACATTTCCACATTGCGGTCCATTCGAGAAGGAGAAGAAAAATCAAAACGTCTCCTACAGACACAATATTATTCAATTAATTTTCTTAGGATTGCAGAGCATTTTAATTTAAGTCAATGATTTTAAGCAAACATTTAAACAAAGTAAAAAACATACTGATATTATTTGAGCCCATTTGCTACTAATGCCCATCTAAAAACCTTTCCCCAGGCCCTAAGCTAAGGGAGGTAACCTCTAACAAATTATCTTTAAAATAATATTGTGTTTAAGTATTAAAAAGGCAAAAAATTCACTTATTAAATAAAGAAATTTATTATCACAAAAAAAATAACAATTTAATGTTTCTCTATTCTTGAAGAAAAAAAGAGCTTAATTTTAATCTAGATATTTTCCATGCGCGACCAGACTTTCAATGATTTAGACCACAGACTATTTCGTTTTTCTTGACGGACATCACAGTCTCATGAGGTAACACAGACCACTCGCTGGGTCAATAGTTCACAATATAGACCCAACGACTGCCATCTGCCATGAAATTAAGTACTCACCATCCTTGTTCACTTTTAAACTTAAAAACAGCTTGAAAAATTTGACAGAGACCAGAGCCAGGTTTAAAATCTTGAAAATATTTCATCTGTGAGAATATAAGAATGCCAGAAATAACAGCAAAATCCTCAAATGGTGGCATACACAAATCATTCATAATTCAGTATTTTAGTTCAAATGATACATTTTAAAAGTTTATCTCAATTTTATCTAATTTGTTTGTTAATTTAGTTTAAAAAACTAATTAAGCCCGGAAGAAGTAGCTTCCTGAATGTTAATATACTCCTTTCAACTCACAGGCAACTTGGTAAGCGCTGGATTTGTAACATGTCTACCAAAAGCTTCTTCTTGAAACTGTAGTAACTGTACCAGCAGTGTAGCCAAATTCTTGTTAGTTGGGGGATCAGCTTGAACATACTTTAAAAAGAAAGAAACATTTAAGAAACTGAGGTACTTTCCTGGTCAAGTGTAGTTTGATTGTTATTGAGTCATGCAACATTTAAATGATGATGAAACATAAAAATTACTAATTTGAGGAAAAAAATAATTAAAACAATATGAAAATGAAAATACCAGTTAAGGGATTTATAATTATCATACTTTGATAGTATTAAATATAAGATAAAAGGATTATGTATAGGCTATATGTATAGTATATGTATAAGCCTAATAAATAAACTATTTATGGTTAATCTTTGTAGAGCCAAACTATTTAGTTCAATTTTTCAGAATTGCTTATTTGAGAATTACCATCTATAGCTTTCTGAAGGCCATTTGTAGTGAACTACAAAATAGCCATTCAGGACTTTTTGTAGATGAACATCTTTTCTTTTGAAAATTAGCTGTAATTGCACTACCTACACAATATGTTTGTTATTTAAGCCTGCTATGTCTTTTGGAATATCCCTTTTAAGGGGAATGTTTGGCCGCATTTGTGCGGTTCGCTACGCGTTACGCTAAATCTTTACTCTAGGTGGCACGCGATCTAAAAAAAAGATATCAGGACTGCCCGATTTTTTTTTGTGGTAGTGATTTAATGTTGACATATATCTAGATCTAGTTTAAGTGTATTTCAACACCTAAGAATTTCAATCTTGTCTAGTAGGCCTACTTGTAAAAAAAAAAAAAAGCCAGTGTCAGTAGTGGGTCAGATGATAGTCCTAGACCCTAGATCAAGCAGCAATCTAACTAAATCAAATTGTCCTTTAGTAAATTGTTTTAACAGCAATCAGGCATGCTAGATACTAGTCTATATTATTTATCCTTAGAAAAATTTCAATTTGCTTGTGCGGGGGAGAGAAGTGAAGACACAGACGATCTTGTGAACTTGTGTTCATTCTATGACGTACGCTTTAGGCCTGCTGAACTCACAGTGACCTTGCCGACCGTGGGCCGTGGTGGGATTTTCTACTCACTGTAACTCACAGGATGGTAAACGTAAGGCAAGCAAGCAATCACGCCCGTGATGTTTGGAAATTTTATTAAAAAAAAAAAAGAATCACACGTCATTCTCTATAATGAAAAAAATAAAATGTAAAAAAGACACTAGATCTAGTATCGATCCTGCTGACCCCGGTTTCAAACTCGGAGCTCCGGGGTCATGAACTACAGTTTAGTTTTACAGCTGGCACACACTGTACGTACTGTGTAAAAAAAAATTCGAATGATCTGAATTTAGATTTAAGATTTAACTTCTAGATCTAGATAGATCCTAATAGATCTAGATTCTAGCTAGATCTAGACGGCTTAGAATCTAAATAACTCAGTAATCTTAGTCTTAGATTTCTAAGTTAGAAATCTTCGCCGAATTTTCATTTCTCGCGAATTTTTTTTCCAGCAGACTGAAAAAAAAATATTTTATTTTAATTAAAAACCACAATTATCACCCTCCTAAAATATTTAAAATATGAAAAATTAAAAGTAAACCAACTTTTTTACAATTTTTGAGAAGCCACGTACGAACTGGGTCGAACTGAGCTATAGTTTCTTGAGATTCAAAATATTTTACATTAGGTCCGCCGTCTTTCTTCCTCTGGAGCGCCATTTTGGAAATACAGAGCGTGGCAAGGACCGCAGAAAATGCTTATCAATAACAAAGTTTAGCCTAGGCTTATTCGTGGATCAGGTTTTAGTCTTTTTAACAAAATCCTCACATCGTCCAATCTAACAAATAACATTATTTAAAATACACTCTCCCCCATTTTCAACTTGGGACGCCACTATGAAATAATTTTAAAAATCAAGAAAATTAGACATGCATGCAGTGTACAGTGGCGTCGTTAGGTTGGGGTATCATCCGATGCGGCAGCCTAAAGTTGTAACTCCACCCCCATCCAATTGCCGTTTTTTTTTTTGTTGTTGTTTTTTTTGGTGTAACGCCTCTCCCCCAACTATTGTAATTTATATAGATAGGCCTAAATATTTTTTTGACAGAAAAGTTTATAACTTTTCAAAGTGCTGTCACCCCTTGCGGATCACACCCCGCCCGCGCCTGGTATCTGCATGGATTATGGAATAAACAAAAAGAGTTACGCATATCGGCAGCCTGTTAATAAAAAATCTCGCTATATAAATACGTAAAATTATCAAATATTTTGTAATTAATTAACAAAGCTTCACTCTCAGTTAATTGCGTGTTGTTGTTTTTTTTTTTTGCCTGCTCCCCCTCCCACCGGCACCTAAAGGGGGAATAAAAAAATAATATCTGAAATATTGAATTATAGCCCACACAGATTACGATGTTTCTATAATTGGCAGACTTTGCAAACAGGCTTACCCATTTCCCCCACATCGATTGTACAGCAGCAACATAAAATAAATATATAGGCCTATATAATGCGTTCCTGTCCAGTGACCAGGAAAGGTCCGCTATTTTTTACTAATCCTAGTGTGGGAGGGGGTGATGGGACATTTTCACTTATGTAAGCCGACCAAAAGGATTTTAAACTGCAGTAGAATGTAGAGACATTGTAATTTAATATATACAAACCTGTGTAAAAAAAAAAAGTAGGCTACTGTACTGTGCTTACAAATAACGTAACACACAATCATCAACTATAACCAATTCTTACATGTAAGAAACGACGCAAAAAATTTAATGTTTTACTTAATCTGTATTATAATATAGATTAAAAATAATCCTTGATTATTATTTTGTGTGTGCTTCATCTCATATCTTAAAAATGGGACGGCGTAATGGTAGAGCATACCGGAATGTTTCAAGTTTGAATCCGAGCTCAATGCTGCAGAACGTCCCTGAGTTCACCAAGCTCTGACGGGTACCTGACTCGTGTTAGGGAAAGTAAAGTCAGCTGGGCATAATCCAGACCCCACTATTCATTTACACTGAGGTCACAGAAACAGGTGAACTCTATTTCACTTTCCCCATGGACCGCCAGGTTCGAAAGGGAACGTTTCATCTCTTATATATCTACTTAAGCAGTTTTTGTGACAGCTTTAGAATTTAATGCCTTCACACGCAATCTGGCTGTGGGCTAAAACATTTTTTTTTCAGAATTGATACATCACATGTAGGCCTAATTGGTAATCCAGAGCAGTTGATTTTTAAAAATTGCCACCCCTCCAAGAAGTATTTCTTTCAGGTAACTGTCGCAACCCCCAACAGCACTTCAAGAGCTTCACCACGGGACGAAATGGATAAAATATTAAAAATAATAAATTTAAATTGTAGTAGAAAAAAAAATTCATAAAAAAAAACGTTTTAATAACAAGCTTTTATGTACTAATGCACTAAAAAGTAGAAAATAAATTATAGACTACTATTTAAATAACTATAAAGAAAAGCGTTGGTCACTTTAGTACTTTAGTACCTATTTTATACCTTTACTAATATTTGAGAAGAGACCCACGCTTTTCTTTATAGTTATTTAAATAGTAGTCTATAATTTATTTTCTACTTTTTAGTGCATTAGTACATAAAAGCTTGTTATTAAAACGTTTTTTTTATGAATTTTTTTTCAGTACTTTACATGTTTTATTTACAATAGTGTTACATGACTAAAAACCATTGCGCGTCTATTGAACGTGATGGCGCAGCTATTCAACCTGATGGCGCAGCTATGGAACGTGATGACGCGTGTGGTGTGGTTGGATAGACATGCCTATTGATTCGGTCCAAATTTTAATTAATTAATAAAAAATTAATTAGGCATCCAATTAAGTCAAATTTAGTTTCAGATTGCATTGTCTTCATGTCTTGACCCACGCGCCAACTGTGAATCGTATCGGTCAAGTAGAACTGTCCGAATTTTCACTCCTGCGTTTCTATCTAGACTGACGACAGACAGAATGACGAGGAAGTGAGTTAAATAAAAGCTTGTAATAAAAAAAAATTCATAAAAAACGTTTTAATAACAAGCTTTTATGTAATGATGCACTAAAAAGTAGAAAATAAATTATAGACTACTATTTAAATAACTATAAAGAAAAGCGTGGGTCACTTTAGTATCTATTGGATACCTTTACTAATGTTAAGGAAGACACCCACGCTTTTCTTTATAGTTATTTAAATAGTAGTCTATAATTTATTTTCTACTTTTTAGTGCATCATTACATAAAAGCTTGTTATTAAAACGTTTTTTATGAATTTTTTTTCAGTACTTTACATGTTTTATCTACAATAGAGTTACATGACTAAAAACCATTGCGCGCCTACTGAATATCACGTTCAGTAGGCGCGCAATGGTTTTTGAACGCAGCCATTACGTGGTCGTGATGGCGCAGCTATTGATGACGCGTGTGGTGTGGTTGGCTAGACATGCCTACTAATTCGGTCCAAATTTTAATTAATTCATAAAAAATCAATTAGGCATCCAATTAAGTCAAATTTAGTTTCAGATTGCATTGTCTTCATGTCTTGACCCACGTGCCAACTGTGAATCGTATCGGTCAAGTAGAACTGTCCGAATTTTCACTCCTGCGTTTCTATCTAGACTGACGACAGACAGAATGACGAGGAAGTGAGTTAAATAAAAGCTTGTAAAAAAATTCATAAAAAACGTTTTAATAACAAGCTTTTATGTAATGATGCACTAAAAAGTAGAAAATAAATTATAGACTACTATTTAAATAACTATAAAGAAAAGCGTGGGTCACTTTAGTATCTATTGGATACCTTTACTAATGTTAAGGAAGACACCCACGCTTTTCTTTATAGTTATTTAAATAGTAGTCTATAATTTATTTTCTACTTTTTAGTGCATCATTACATAAAAGCTTGTTATTAAAACGTTTTTTATGAATTTTTTTTTCAGTACTTTACATGTTTTATCTACAATAGAGTTACATGACTAAAAACCATTGCGCGCCTACTGAATATCACGTTCAGTAGGCGCGCAATTGTTTTTGAACGCAGCCATTACGTGGTCGTAATGGCGCAGCTATTGATGACGCGTGTGGTGTGGTTGGCTAGACATGCCTACTAATTCGGTCCAAATTTTAATTAATTCATAAAAAAGCAATTAGGCATCCAATTAAGTCAAATTTAGTTTCAGATTGCATTGTCTTCATGTCTTGACCCACGTGCCAACTGTGAATCGTGTCGGTCAAGTAGAACTGTCCGAATTTTCACTCCTGCGTTTCCGTCTAGACTGACGACAGACAGAGGAAGTGAGTTAAATAAAAGCTTGTAAAAAAAAAATTCATAAAAAACGTTTTAATAACAAGCTTTTATGTAATGATGCACTAAAAAGTAGAAAATAAATTATAGACTACTATTTAAATAACTATAAAGAAAAGCGTGGGTCACTTTAGTATCTATTGGATACCTTTACTAATGTTAAGGAAGACACCCACGCTTTTCTTTATAGTTATTTAAATAGTAGTCTATAATTTATTTTCTACTTTTTAGTGCATCATTACATAAAAGCTTGTTATTAAAACGTTTTTTATGAATTTTTTTTTCAGTACTTTACATGTTTTATTTACAACTAGGCATACTGCCTAGCTTCGCTTAGGTTTTCAAAAACATTTGATAATTTGAATAGTAATTATTAGGTGATGGATGAGGCGTGGAGTGCTTAAATGTAAACAGTAATGCTAATTTTAGAGAAGATGTTGTAGGCCTATGCTCTTTAACATCAGCTTTCAGAGAAAGTGTTCGAAAGTACGCAATTTATAACTAAGATGGAAATAGAACTACAGAGGTTCCATGAACAGTATATCTCATAATTTATATTACATTGACTTTCAAAATTAATTTTTTTTTAATTATGATACGTAGCTTAATTAATAACTTATTTTTATCTAAAACAAATGCTATACTTTGTCGTTTTCTGTTTCTGTTTAAAATAGTATACAATTATTTGAAAAATAATTATTTAAAAAGGTTACCTCCCTTGGAAATTAACCGAATGACGTATCTCTGTGTTTACTTTTTTTTTAAACAAACAGTTACTATGCTTATATAAGAAAATACGATATATAAACATATTTAACGACTACAATAGCTTTTTCCGACGGGATTAAAGTTTTTTTGTTACCCTCCAGGGTCGGTCTACGACCTCAAATAATATTAACGGGATCGATCGTCAAATTATTTATATATATCTCATATAAGGAGAATTTCACTCGCGGTCATCTTTTAGCACTGGTCGAGGGCTTTGAGTCTGACCAACAGTTTTTCCATACGGCCTAGTCATCTATAGAAGTGTATGCAAAACATTAGCATGATGTACAGAGGTTAAGTAACGTAAAAATTGTGTTGAAATTACCCTGTTTTTCCAATAAAATACAAAGATTATATAGGGAAATACGACTGGTCAGTTTTGACCCCTTTACGAAGTTTTCCCAGATATGCCGAGTTTTTTGTGACACCCCAAGGCGTTCTCCTACCACCTCACAAAATATCAAGGGGGGTCGTCGGAGGAAATTTTTTTTCGTAATAGAGCTCATATAAAGAGAATTTCACTCGCCGTCACATTTTAGCCCTCGTCGAGGGCTTTGAGTGAAACCGACAGTTTTCCCTAAAGGTCAAGCCATTGACCTAAGAGTATGCAAAAAGTTAGCCAGATATACTGAGTTTAAGTACCCTAAAGCCTGC